AGTAAAAAAAAATCCCCCCAAATTTTTTGAACCCCCTTATGATTCATCACCCCCAAACTCAATCCCAGCCTTCCCTATGTGGTACAGTACCTTGCAGTACAATTTCAGAGAGATCCATACACTTGAACACAAGTTATTGTCTGGAAACAAGAAAAATGCTTGTTTTTTGGCCTCTTTTTGGCCCCAAATTCCTAAACGTTTACGGCAATTACCCCCAAACTCAATCCCAGCCTTCCCTTGGTGGTATGGTACCTTGCAGTACAATTTCAGAGAGATCCATACACTTGAACACAAGTTATTGTCTGGAAACTAGAAAAATGTTTATTTTTGGCCCCTTATTCCTAAACATTTTGGGCAATTACCCCCAAAATCAATTCCAGCTTTCCCTTTGTGATATGGAACCTTGTAGAACAATTTCAGAAATATCCATACACTTACACACAAGTTATTGTCATGAAACTAGAAAAATGCTTGTTTTTTACCCCTTTTTTTTGCCCCCTAATTCCTAAAATTTTTAGGCAATTACCCCCAAAATCAATCCCAGCATTCCCTTTGTGATATGGAACCTTGTGGTACAATGTCAAAGATATCCATACACTAACACACAAGTTATGTCCGGAAGTTCCAAAAATGCTTATTTTTGGCCCCTTTTTGGCCCCTAATTCCTTAACTGTTGGTATCATAACCCCCAAAATCAATCCCAACCTTCCTTTTGTGGTATTGAACCTTAAGGTAAAATTTCATAGAGATCCATTAAATTAAGCTAAAGTTAGAGTGTGAAAACCAATGTGTCTTTGGATGACGACGACGTCGCCAACGTCATACCAATATTTTGACCGCAAAATTTTTTTTGCGGTCGTATAAAAACTGCAAAGTTTTCTTAAAATTACCAATCTAGTGGCAGCAACCCAACAATGGATTGTTAGATTCATCTGAAAATTTAATGGCTGATAGAACTTGACATAATGAACATTTTTACCTCACATAAGATTTGCTCTAAATGCTTTAGTCAATGTTAGTGTTTGAGATATAAGCCAAAAACTGCATTTTGCCCCTATGTTCTATTTTTAGATATGGCAGCCATGTTTATTGATGAAACAGAAAATAAAACACAAGCTTTATTCTAAATACTCTAAGGATCATTCAGTCTAAGTTTGGTTGGAATTGGTTCAGTAGTTTCAGTGGAGAAGATTTTTTAAAGTTAGAAAACATGATAAACAAATTGTGTAAAATTGTCGTTAAAGTGCAATAACTCCTTAAGAGGTCCATTGACAATTTTGGTTATAGAAACTTATTTGTAGATCTTACTTTGCTGAACATTTTTGCTGTTTACAGTTTATCTTTATCATTAATAATATTCAAGATAATAACCAAAAACTGCAAATATTTCTTGAAATTACCAATTAAGTGACAGGAACCCAACAATCATGACAATGGGTTATTAGATTCATCAGAAAATTTCAGGGCTGATAGAACTTTGAATACCTAATGAACAATTAACTCTGCGTCAGATTTGCTCTAAATGCTTTGGTTTTTGAGATAAAAGCCAAAAACTGCATTTACCCCTATGTTCTTATTTAGCCATGACAACCATGTAAGAAAACACAACTTTATTGTAAATACCCTAAAGATCATTCAGCTTAAGTTTGGTAGGAATTGGTTCAGTAGAGGAGAAGATGTATGAAATAGTTTACACCCGACGGACGCCAATGGTTGACGACAGACAACGACGGACGCCAAGTGATGGCAAAATCGCACTGTTCCTTCGGAACGATGAGCTAAAAAGGCGAATTTAAAAAATTGCGCTGGCTCTATCCAAAAGAGATTTTTACAGTGTAGTGTACTAATTTTGGGACAGGACATATTAACATAATAGAAAAATCTATAAGCTATAACTCAAAATATGGACAATTTTATGTTTAAAGGGTCTATAATTTAGTTTGACAACTTCAGACATACTAATATTTGACCTTTTCAAACTATACCAAATCACTACTTAGGCCCAAAAAAAATATATGTCTGTTTAAGGTTACATACTTTAAAAAATAGGCTAGGTAGGTCGGTATTTCCATTTTATTTTTTGCGACATGATTTTGAGACATGCCGTTTCATCTTGTCGTGGTCTGAGTTGATCCTTGGCCTATTTTACCCGTTATTTTAATGATTGGATTATTTCCCTTGGTTATTGGCTGGGGAAAAAATGGCGGCAAAGTGTTTATTTCATCACACGAGTCACGAATTTTCTTATAACAGCTGTCATATTCATGATTGTGAACATTGGGATGTATCAGGCAATTGATTTATATTATTGGCAACACAAACTTCATTTTTGACACGAGTTCAGTTAATTTTTGACTTTACGACAGAAATAAAATGACTTAGGGTTGGCGCTCAAAAGTAGGGTCGGTCGGGTAACCGTAAACAGACATATATTTTTGTTTGACCATAAGGATGTTCGCTACTCTGTTTCAAAATAACAAGCTTTTTAAAAGAATATGAATAAAGGAACTAAAAAAACAGAAAAAATGAAGGGTCCGTGTGCTTGTTTTTAAGATATAAGCCATTAAAAATTTGGCGGGAAGTGATTCTCTCTAGATTTGTCATACACTTAACACTGGCACCTTTTTCTTTCAAAAGCTATGGCAAAATAACATGGATTTTATAAGAGTTTCAAATATGGCTTTTTAAACTATGTAATAAAAATATGAAAAGAAAAGTAGGGGTTTGCGGGCAAATTTTTTTAATGGCACTGCATGGATAAAACAAGAGGATTCCGAATATCTGGTAAAAATGTAATTTCGTCCGCAATAAATTTGGAAGGAGTTTGAAAATAGTTTGCAAGTTATACACTATATCCACACTAGAGACCTAATAGAGTAGAAATACTAATTTTAATCAAACTTGGCATGAACTAAGATTAGGGGAATTATAAGACAGTTTACCTAGTTTCATGGCAATAGCATATATACATTAAAGACTATAAGTTTGAATTTGGGTGTTAATTTTTTGCCGTTTAAAGTTTAACGTTTAACTATCAAGATTTGGGCCTACATAATTTAAATATTGCAAAAAATTGCTTTTTAAATGTCTTTATAACTATTTATATATAATTGTGTATGTCACATGTATGCACATAATGTATTTTAATGTAAAGCAGCTGAATACTCATTTGCTGTCTCAGATTTATTTCAATTCTTCAAAAGTCGAATTTATATGAGCCTATGCCTAAAAATAGAGATTTCAAAATTAAGGGGGGGGGGGGGGGGGGGGGGGGGGGGGGAGGCGGCTTATATAAAAATTCTTCATGTATATTTAAAAAATTATTTGTATTTCAAAAGGAAAGAAAGTTACTTATCTGCTTATAGCATACCACATGAGTAGAACAAGGTCCCATTAGGCCATGGAACAGGAAGACTGAATAACATTTAAGGTCAATATAGGCAGTAACACATTTTTACATGTATATGAAAAGGCATACACATAAGCTAGAGGAAATAAAAAAGTGTTTCTTTTTGGTAATTTGTAGGCTAAGGTGACATCATACAAGAAGTATGAGTGATTCTCAAACTAAAATAAAATAATTTCATCCCCCTACTTCATTGTACTTACTTTTTATGCATACAAAATATAAATAAATAAATTTGGAAGTAATACATGGTCCACACTAGGGAATCTTTTTGTTAAAAATGAAAATCAATGGATGATAACTGTGTACTTGGACTAACAATTAAAATTTCACATGCTGAAATGTCTGGTCAGCCCAATCTCAATCAGTGAAATAAATTATTGTTTTTTTTTTTTTTTAAGTCATATGGAAGAAGTCCAAATAATAATGACGCATTGCAAGGCTTTTTTTTTCTCTCTGACGCCGTAGGAAGGAGAAGTGAGTTGACACAACATGTATGTTATCATGCAAAATCAACAGTAATGAGTATACCTTTGATTGTCATCGTCAGGTGGCAGGTACCAGTTTTGGTGTACCAGAACATGTGTCCCACGCAGAAATTTGGTTATAGCTAAGCATTAAGGTGTATAATTGCATCATATGGACTGAAAAAATAAATGAATGTAAATTCTAGGCTATTGTACTACACAAGTAAGTAGTTGCATACACAGGTTGGGGATTTCCTTCACAAATGGGTCCAATCAGAAGTCAAAATTGTGGTCTCCTCACTTGACGGCATCCAATCAAAGTGGGGAAAAACTTCAGTTTTATGTAAACAAAAATATCTTGAGATTTTGATGGTAAGGATAGGTTCGGACAAGGCTCTAATTCACTGAATATCATTTATCTCTTGAATTTTGCCTAAAATTCTTGTCGGCTTTTAGCAGGATTCTGCAGGTAAGGATTAGATTGGTATCAGAGCATCACATTTTTTGCCTTATTTGCAATGCATTTATAAATTTTAAAATATCCATGCTGGACAGACACCCAAATTTATAGGTTTTCTATATATTCACATAAGCACGCACACATCTTCGTTACTTGAATCCATACATTTTATTTGTATATAAGCTTGAATGAATTTTCAAGAAAATAAAATCATAAATCCATGAAATTCTAAAGATTTATTGTAAAATAACTGGTTTCTGCCACCTTAAGCCTAAACATGATTTTAACATATCACAAAATGTGCCTTTTTAAGGGTTCTACAGGTGTGTGGTGTTACATTTCTTTTATTCACAGTCAATGTATAGGTCTGTTTGGAAGAAAATAGTTTTTACATGGATTTTAAGAATTATCAAATATCAAGACAGATAACTCTGTATACCAATACAAACAATGACACTCAATTGATTAGTTTTAAAATGATTATATTCACCAAACAATGATTTTATATCATAAAATATATAGAAATAGCAATTACAAAGAGAGAAAAAAGTAAAATAAGCCTCAGCATAGCACTAGAAAAAGCTGATTATACTGTATATTACCTGTTATAATGATTTATTTCACATGATATGGACATTTTCTTATTTATTTACTTTTTAACTATGAATATATGAATTCTTCTTTTTTTATAGGTCTACTACATAGTTGATACTGTAGGACAGGCTACAGAAATAAGAAAACTGGTCTCTCTCATCAACAATAGTGTGGCAATTCTAAAATTTCAACATGCGGCCTACACAGCTAGCTCATGTGGAGAAGAGATATGAGACTGATTGCGAATAAATGTACACTTAGTTTAGTGCAGCATGGATCTACAAAGTGAAATATATGTACCAAAAATATTAGTTTATTCAAAACTAAGCCTTTTTCAGCACTGCAGTCAACAGAACAGTGATAGTGACAAGAATTGAGACTATTTAATACCTCAAACAATGGAAAAATACTTCCTGAGATCAGTTGTAAGTGGTTTTATATCATGCATGAAACAATAAACTAAAGTATTTTTGAGAACTGTTGGATAATTCATACACTGTACCAGAAAACTCACACAATAAAATTTATTAAATATGAACACAATCCTTTTTTTCTATTTTTTTTGCATTCAAAGCAGTTTGACGGCAAAAGACACAAATATTGCTTTAATAAATTTGGTCTTACAAAGCCTATTAATGTTTTTTTTTGTGCCGTAACCATATGCACTGCATGTATTTTTAATGGTAAATGACTACAGAACTCAATCAGACTAAAAAAATGGAAATATATTCTTTTTAATAAGTGGTTAAAGGTGGCAGGTACCAGTTTTGGTGTACCAGAACATGTGTCCCACGCAGAAATTTGGTTATAGTTAAGCATTAAGGTATATAATTGCATCATGTGGACTGAAAAAATAAATGAATGTAAATTCTAGGCTATTGTACTACACAAGTAAGTAGTTGCATACACAGGTTGGGGATTTCCTTCACAAATGGGTCCAATCAGAAGTCAAAATTGTGGTCTCCTCACTTGACGGCATCCAATCAAAGTGGGGAAAAACTTCAGTTTTATGTAAACAAAAATATCTTGAGATTTTGATGGTAAGGATAGGTTCGGACAAGGCTCTAATTCACTGAATATCATTTATCTCTTGAATTTTGCCTAAAATTCTTGTCGGCTTTTAGCAGGATTCTGCAGGTAAGGATTAGATTGGTATCAGAGCATCACATTTTTTGCCTTATTTGCAATGCATTTATAAATTTTAAAATATCCATGCTGGACAGACACCCAAATTTATAGGTTTTCTATATATTCACATAAGCACGCACACATCTTAGTTACTTGAATCCATACATTTTATTTGTATATAAGCTTGAATGAATTTTCAAGAAAATAAAATCATAAATCCATGAAATTCTAAAGATTTATTGTAAAATAACTGGTTTCTGCCACCTTAAGCCTAAACATGATTTTAACATATCACAAAATGTGCCTTTTTAAGGGTTCTACAGGTGTGTGGTGTTACATTTCTTTTATTCACAGTCAATGTATAGGTCTGTTTGGAAGAAAATAGTTTTTACATGGATTTTAAGAATTATCAAATATCAAGACAGATAACTCTGTATACCAATACAAACAATGACACTCAATTGATTAGTTTTAAAATGATTATATTCACCAAACAATGATTTTATATCATAAAATATATAGAAATAGCAATTACAAAGAGAGAAAAAAGTAAAATAAGCCTCAGCATAGCACTAGAAAAAGCTGATTATACTGTATATTACCTGTTATAATGATTTATTTCACATGATATGGACATTTTCTTATTTATTTACTTTTTAACTATGAATATATGAATTCTTCTTTTTTTATAGGTCTACTACATAGTTGATACTGTAGGACAGGCTACAGAAATAAGAAAACTGGTCTCTCTCATCAGCAATAGTGTGGCAATTCTAAAATTTCAACATGCGGCCTACACAGCTAGCTCATGTGGAGAAGAGATATGAGACTGATTGCGAATAAATGTACACTTAGTTTAGTGCAGCATGGATCTACAAAGTGAAATATATGTACCAAAAATATTAGTTTATTCAAAACTAAGCCTTTTTCAGCACTGCAGTCAACAGAACAGTGATAGTGACAAGAATTGAGACTATTTAATACCTCAAACAATGGAAAAATACTTCCTGAGATCAGTTGTAAGTGGTTTTATATCATGCATGAAACAATAAACTAAAGTATTTTTGAGAACTGTTGGATAATTCATACACTGTACCAGAAAACTCACACAATAAAATTTATTAAATATGAACACAATCCTTTTTTTCTATTTTTTTTGCATTCAAAGCAGTTTGACGGCAAAAGACACAAATATTGCTTTAATAAATTTGGTCTTACAAAGCCTATTAATGTTTTTTTTTTGTGCCGTAACCATATGCACTGCATGTATTTTTAATGGTAAATGACTACAGAACTCAATCAGACTAAAAAAATGGAAATATATTCTTTTTAATAAGTGGTTAAATTTAAGGTGGCAGGTACCAGTTTTGGTGTACCAGAACATGTGTCCCACGCAGAAATTTGGTTATAGTTAAGCATTAAGGTATATAATTGCATCATGTGGACTGAAAAAATAAATGAATGTAAATTCTAGGCTATTGTACTACACAAGTAAGTAGTTGCATACACAGGTTGGGGATTTCCTTCACAAATGGGTCCAATCAGAAGTCAAAATTGTGGTCTCCTCACTTGACGGCATCCAATCAAAGTGGGGAAAAACTTCAGTTTTATGTAAACAAAAATATCTTGAGATTTTGATGGTAAGGATAGGTTCGGACAAGGCTCTAATTCACTGAATATCATTTATCTCTTGAATTTTGCCTAAAATTCTTGTCGGCTTTTAGCAGGATTCTGCAGGTAAGGATTAGATTGGTATCAGAGCATCACATTTTTTGCCTTATTTGCAATGCATTTATAAATTTTAAAATATCCATGCTGGACAGACACCCAAATTTATAGGTTTTCTATATATTCACATAAGCACGCACACATCTTAGTTACTTGAATCCATACATTTTATTTGTATATAAGCTTGAATGAATTTTCAAGAAAATAAAATCATAAATCCATGAAATTCTAAAGATTTATTGTAAAATAACTGGTTTCTGCCACCTTAAGCCTAAACATGATTTTAACATATCACAAATTGTGCCTTTTTAAGGGTTCTACAGGTGTGTGGTGTTACATTTCTTTTATTCACAGTCAATGTATAGGTCTGTTTGGAAGAAAATAGTTTTTACATGGATTTTAAGAATTATCAAATATCAAGACAGATAACTCTGTATACCAATACAAACAATGACACTCAATTGATTAGTTTTAAAATGATTATATTCACCAAACAATGATTTTATATCATAAAATATATAGAAATAGCAATTACAAAGAGAGAAAAAAGTAAAATAAGCCTCAGCATAGCACTAGAAAAAGCTGATTATACTGTATATTACCTGTTATAATGATTTATTTCACATGATATGGACATTTTCTTATTTATTTACTTTTTAACTATGAATATATGAATTCTTCTTTTTTTATAGGTCTACTACATAGTTGATACTGTAGGACAGGCTACAGAAATAAGAAAACTGGTCTCTCTCATCAGCAATAGTGTGGCAATTCTAAAATTTCAACATGCGGCCTACACAGCTAGCTCATGTGGAGAAGAGATATGAGACTGATTGCGAATAAATGTACACTTAGTTTAGTGCAGCATGGATCTACAAAGTGAAATATATGTACCAAAAATATTAGTTTATTCAAAACTAAGCCTTTTTCAGCACTGCAGTCAACAGAACAGTGATAGTGACAAGAATTGAGACTATTTAATACCTCAAACAATGGAAAAATACTTCCTGAGATCAGTTGTAAGTGGTTTTATATCATGCATGAAACAATAAACTAAAGTATTTTTGAGAACTGTTGGATAATTCATACACTGTACCAGAAAACTCACACAATAAAATTTATTAAATATGAACACAATCCTTTTTTTCTATTTTTTTTGCATTCAAAGCAGTTTGACGGCAAAAGACACAAATATTGCTTTAATAAATTTGGTCTTACAAAGCCTATTAATGTTTTTTTTTGTGCCGTAACCATATGCACTGCATGTATTTTTAATGGTAAATGACTACAGAACTCAATCAGACTAAAAAAATGGAAATATATTCTTTTTAATAAGTGGTTAAAGGTGGCAGGTACCAGTTTTGGTGTACCAGAACATGTGTCCCACGCAGAAATTTGGTTATAGTTAAGCATTAAGGTATATAATTGCATCATGTGGACTGAAAAAATAAATGAATGTAAATTCTAGGCTATTGTACTACACAAGTAAGTAGTTGCATACACAGGTTGGGGATTTCCTTCACAAATGGGTCCAATCAGAAGTCAAAATTGTGGTCTCCTCACTTGACGGCATCCAATCAAAGTGGGGAAAAACTTCAGTTTTATGTAAACAAAAATATCTTGAGATTTTGATGGTAAGGATAGGTTCGGACAAGGCTCTAATTCACTGAATATCATTTATCTCTTGAATTTTGCCTAAAATTCTTGTCGGCTTTTAGCAGGATTCTGCAGGTAAGGATTAGATTGGTATCAGAGCATCACATTTTTTGCCTTATTTGCAATGCATTTATAAATTTTAAAATATCCATGCTGGACAGACACCCAAATTTATAGGTTTTCTATATATTCACATAAGCACGCACACATCTTAGTTACTTGAATCCATACATTTTATTTGTATATAAGCTTGAATGAATTTTCAAGAAAATAAAATCATAAATCCATGAAATTCTAAAGATTTATTGTAAAATAACTGGTTTCTGCCACCTTAAGCCTAAACATGATTTTAACATATCACAAAATGTGCCTTTTTAAGGGTTCTACAGGTGTGTGGTGTTACATTTCTTTTATTCACAGTCAATGTATAGGTCTGTTTGGAAGAAAATAGTTTTTACATGGATTTTAAGAATTATCAAATATCAAGACAGATAACTCTGTATACCAATACAAACAATGACACTCAATTGATTAGTTTTAAAATGATTATATTCACCAAACAATGATTTTATATCATAAAATATATAGAAATAGCAATTACAAAGAGAGAAAAAAGTAAAATAAGCCTCAGCATAGCACTAGAAAAAGCTGATTATACTGTATATTACCTGTTATAATGATTTATTTCACATGATATGGACATTTTCTTATTTATTTACTTTTTAACTATGAATATATGAATTCTTCTTTTTTTATAGGTCTACTACATAGTTGATACTGTAGGACAGGCTACAGAAATAAGAAAACTGGTCTCTCTCATCAGCAATAGTGTGGCAATTCTAAAATTTCAACATGCGGCCTACACAGCTAGCTCATGTGGAGAAGAGATATGAGACTGATTGCGAATAAATGTACACTTAGTTTAGTGCAGCATGGATCTACAAAGTGAAATATATGTACCAAAAATATTAGTTTATTCAAAACTAAGCCTTTTTCAGCACTGCAGTCAACAGAACAGTGATAGTGACAAGAATTGAGACTATTTAATACCTCAAACAATGGAAAAATACTTCCTGAGATCAGTTGTAAGTGGTTTTATATCATGCATGAAACAATAAACTAAAGTATTTTTGAGAACTGTTGGATAATTCATACACTGTACCAGAAAACTCACACAATAAAATTTATTAAATATGAACACAATCCTTTTTTTCTATTTTTTTTGCATTCAAAGCAGTTTGACGGCAAAAGACACAAATATTGCTTTAATAAATTTGGTCTTACAAAGCCTATTAATGTTTTTTTTTGTGCCGTAACCATATGCACTGCATGTATTTTTAATGGTAAATGACTACAGAACTCAATCAGACTAAAAAAATGGAAATATATTCTTTTTAATAAGTGGTTAAAGGTGGCAGGTACCAGTTTTGGTGTACCAGAACATGTGTCCCACGCAGAAATTTGGTTATAGTTAAGCATTAAGGTATATAATTGCATCATGTGGACTGAAAAAATAAATGAATGTAAATTCTAGGCTATTGTACTACACAAGTAAGTAGTTGCATACACAGGTTGGGGATTTCCTTCACAAATGGGTCCAATCAGAAGTCAAAATTGTGGTCTCCTCACTTGACGGCATCCAATCAAAGTGGGGAAAAACTTCAGTTTTATGTAAACAAAAATATCTTGAGATTTTGATGGTAAGGATAGGTTCGGACAAGGCTCTAATTCACTGAATATCATTTATCTCTTGAATTTTGCCTAAAATTCTTGTCGGCTTTTAGCAGGATTCTGCAGGTAAGGATTAGATTGGTATCAGAGCGTCACATTTTTTGCCTTATTTGCAATGCATTTATAAATTTTAAAATATCCATGCTGGACTGTGAGACACCCAAATTTATAGGTTTTCTATATATTCACATAAGCACGCACACATCTTAGTTACTTGAATCCATACATTTTATTTGTATATAAGCTTGAATGAATTTTCAAGAAAATAAAATCATAAATCCATGAAATTCTAAAGATTTATTGTAAAATAACTGGTTTCTGCCACCTCACTGCAAATGGATCATTATTACTAGGGGGAATGGAACCAATAAATTGATCGGATCCGATATGAAGTTCCCAGTAACGGAGAACCTCTAACTTTGAGGTAATATTATTAGTGTCGGTGGTCTCACAAACGAATCAGGGTGAATTGCAGGTACACTAATTAGCAGAGAATAGACAATTATCAACTTGTTATTTATTACCTCGCAGTTATTTACGGTTAATTAGCTGTATATATCCCAAAACAGGTGCTCGGAGCTAGTACTAGTCCATGACTTTTAAGTAACAATTATATTTATATTCAAAATCTGTGGCGGATCGAAGGGGGATGGGTTCCGGGGGTTTGACTCCCCTTTTTGTGAACGATCATTGCATTTAATGGAGACATATTTGGACACCCTTTATCCTGGCTAGAATCGCCCCTGATATTACATGTAAATCAAGTCCCGGGTTACTGTTAGCATAATAGCATAACGGTAATCACAAAGAGTGTGGTAATTTTAAAAAGGACGAGGATTTATAAATATACAATTCTTGAAGAGGGGGAGAGTGCACTTCACAATGATCGAAAAAAAAGTGCCTTGCCCCTTTTTTTTTATCATCTGGTCTGAATAATGAGCTTCAATGCAAAGTGCGAAAATATGTCATGTGAAATACTAACGTTGTACGGACAAAACCTTAGATCCCTCAATGTTATGTCAAATGAATTATAGCGAGGAAAGGTAAATTTAATTTAATATCAAAACTAAATATTTGTTATATTTCGCTCCTGATTTCTCAAGAAATCATAGAATCAATAAATGTATAAATTTCAATTATGCATGTCTGTGTGAGATCCATTTCATGAGACCAAGGATTTCTATAAAATCCTTGATGGGACCCTTTATATATATATATATGTCTCTGATACAGTTTTCTATTTTCCCCGGAAAAAAATTAAAAAATATATAATCTTTTGGGAAATAATCCGATTTTGTTGAATTATTTCCTTTCATAATTATGATAAATCCTTTTAGTTCTTCAATTTTAAATTAAAAAAAATATTTCATTTTGATCTAACGACAAACTTTTTAAATTGTAGTGGCATGGTCAGTCAACTGATTAGTTGCATGGCTGATTACCAGTTTACTGGTGACCCAGTAATTTTCCATATGACAGTGGCGTGTGCCCTTGGGGTGTGTTTAACTTATTTTGAATACCTTAATTTTCTGGGGAACATCCTGTCCACGTGTAATACTTAGTATATATTGCAACAGATGACATTAAACAAATTTTCTTTGTAGCATCGGTGTCCATTTCATGTTCAACCACTCAAAATTTTCACAAAAAGATAATATAATAAAATCATTAAAAAAAAGATTAAAATAACACTAGCAAATAAACTTCGCAATGAGAAAGCGGGGATTTGTGTTTTAAAGGGCTTATTTCCAGTGGATATATTTTATACTAGATAACTAGACCTGACATAACTTTTTTTTGTAATATATATTTTATCATTTTCATATCATTCTCAAAATCTCGATCATCTTAAATAAAGATGTATAAAAAATAATTTTGTTATAACTCATAAATATATGGTTAATCATAATTGTTACAAATTATAAAATGGTAAGTCAATGCCCGATGTGCCGCCGTATATTGCAAAACTACGATTTAATCTTTTAAATGAAAGACGTGCACTGCCTTCAGCGGAACAGAGGAAACTCCACCTAGTGTACATTAAAGAGTATCCGTTTGTTATGCTGAAAAAAAGAGATCATCATAAACTTTTTAGCAGACCTTCTCGTGTAAAAAAAAACCAAACTTTTAACTGAATTAAACAAAAAATTATCAAACAAAACTCATTAGAAAACTCATAGTAACATTTTGTTTAGACCTGAGATAACTTATAGTAAGATTATTTATATAGAACAATTAAAAAAAAAATGTCCAAACTTATACACGTACCTATAATCTGGGACTATTATACTACCTATTTTTTTAGTATAATAGTCCCAGCTATAATATGCAAAATTTTGAACAGCTTCAAATATATGGCCTTATCATTGGTAATATATCATATTTGTATCAGTTATTGCTGAACGTGTAACCAAATTAAAATGAAGAAATAGGCTCGAAACCGCATTTTTTGAAGTTATTTTTTTCAATCCCAAAATAGATAATAGATATGCAGATTAAAGTCCAGATGAGAAGATTAACTTTCTTTTCTACCGAAGTAAATATATAAACAATGATTTAGGATATCAATAAATTATTAAATTCATCAATTTATTAAAATTGAACATGTGAACCAAACAACGAAAATAAATAAACGGGAAATTGGCTATACCTTTTTGGTATTAGCCATGAAGCCATGTACATGTATGTACCAGCCATTTTAACTGATTGTTTTCTTAAACTTTAAAGAATACATTTTAAAATGAGCTACTTTATTTATAGTAGTTCAAGAAAAAAATATATGTTATATATATATATATAAGTCTATAAATATTAAAAAGTTTTAAATTTTGTCCACGCTGTGCATAAAATAGGAAAACAAAAATAAGGCTGAAAATGCACCAATATTTATATTCAATATGAATATTCACATTTTGTCTATTACAACAATTTTTGAACAATTTGTTGTTGTAATAGACAAAATGTGAATATTCATATTGAATATAAATATTTGGTGCATTTTCAGCCTTATTTTTTCCCTATATACATATATATATGATAACACTTTCCTTTATATTCAATGGAACAAGAAGCGAATTCGTTAGCGAACTAGAGTAACTATAGAAATAGCGTCGTTACAGGTCTTCTTCTGACCGGAAATAAATCCTTAGCAGTAATGATAGTGGAACGTCCATTGGGCTGTGCTCAGCCACGTCCGAATGGGGACGTTGAATCCTTGCAACAACTCTTCGAGTGGAATGTAAGTAGCCTGGTATTAGGCCAATTTTCTGTCCCTCCTTTTTCGTTGGCAGTCGAAATTTTCCGACCGTATCACGGGCGGTCTCAATTACAAGACCTACATGTACCTATCATATATTATTCGGTACGTCAGACACACCCGACATTAATCAACCAAAAACTCAATATTTTACAGAAGGGAATGAATATCTCCCACGTTCACTTGTCCCTTGAAGGATCAATATTGAAATTCTTCCATCGCCCCCCCCCCCCCCTTTTTTATAAGATTACATTATGACGTATGTTTTTTTTTTTAAAGACCAACAAATCGATTTTTATCACCAAATTTGTCTTTGCTGAGATTAACACTAAAAAAGTATAACAAAACGTAACGATTGAAAACTCACAGTTCAGTTTTTAAGATATTTTTTTCTTTGGAAACTAACAGACTAATTTTCAAAAAGTTTTTTTCTTGAACCATTATTTATTAAAACGAATTTGTAAACAAAAGTTATTCTTAAATATTAATAATGATCAATGATTGTAAAGAAAAAAATCCATCATAGTAGTTTGTTAATTTACTGGCTCCATGGTGTTAAACATGTCACCTTTCTTTTACAAATAACGGATCAAAAATAGGAAGCCTTTACTGTAAAATAAATCATTCTAATAAAAATAAATTCATCCAGATTTTTCTCTCATAACCTTTCAACAGTTATTGTAAACTAATTTATTCGAACTATAATAGTCCTATGACTTGCTGTCCGTTTACCAATATTTATACTTTATAAAATGTTTTCATATTCATTGATCATTAACTTCATGTTTTGCGAATACTTATAAGGGGGTAATTATTATAGCCAGTAATAGCTAACAATTTATCTAAAGAAAACGAGATGCTATATTCAAATTCTGAGATATGAATCTAGTTCTTTAAAACAAAATTATCAACAACAAAATTCTACACTTTCATTTATCTGGGTCTTTTTGTCTCCGCTTCGAAACCGCCATCCCGTACCAAACATATCTATTCGTTTGGCAATATACAATCACGTAAGCAATATACAACAGGCAGTAGATCTGAATTTGTAAATTGTTATTTTGGATTTTACCTGATTAGGACGTGTCTCGTTGAATTTTCTAATAAACTTACACACACATAATCTGACTTTTAATCGTAATGTTATGAGATCTATAAGAACATAGAGCTGCCGTATAGGCCTAGTTGCATGCAAGTCTTTACAAATTATTTTGGATT